TGAAATACTGCTATCATGTCACCCCTAATTCTTCTTTTCTTTAGACTAGCCAAATCCAAAACCTGCAGACATTCTTCATATGGTTTAGTCTTCAGGCCTTTGATCATCTTAGTTGCTCTCCTCTGTACTTTTTCCAAAATTTTGTTTCAAACCCCTGATAATAGTCCCCCCCCCCCAAAAAAAAAGGGCACCCAGGTTGAGATGGATCTTTAAGAATGTTTTGAACTTTCTTAAGGCAGCAGGAGCTCTAAAACTCTTCCAAAGAGGGGAGAGGGCAACCCATGATCCTCTGGGCAATGACATTGACCCTCTGGAGTGCATCCTATCTGCCAGTGAGCAATTGGCAAACCAGACACAGGTGCAGTAAGTTAAAATACTCTCTATGATGCAGCGGTAGAAGGTCACCAGCAGTTTTTCCTTCACTTGTTGTTTCCTGAGAAGTCTCGGGTAGTATAATCTCTGCTGGGCCCTTTTGACCAGGGCTGCAATGTGAGTTGCCTCAAATCATGTCCTCTTTTTAGCATTGTCTTTCTAAAGGGGTGCTGGGTGTGCTTTAAATCTCTACAAAAGATAACCCTCAATCCCCAAATGAGGAAGAAGTCCACAAACACCAGGGCCCCTTTGCTTTCGGGTGGGGAGGGGGAGGCTCTGGGGTCTTGGAGACTAGAAATATATAGAGAGGGGACAATTGTGCATTGCAAGTGTGTTGCAATACAAACCCAAGACTTCATAGCTAATACTGAACCCAGGTCCTTTAGTTGCAAACATTGGTTTGATCCCCAGGGAGGCTTGAGAGGAAACTGAGTCAAGGCCCTGTTCCAAATGGGAAAGGACTGTTTTCGGCAGTCCAGGGAAGGGGGCACCCAGTATGACAGTAAAAATATCCAACAATCAGGGAAATAGGATGTCCTTGACCTAACCTGCCCCAGCTAGTGTCACGTTCCGGCATTCACGTTGAATACAAACAGAGAGTCATTTTGTTTGGTGAAAAACTTTATCTCTATCTAATATTACGAGATAACCAGCACTAAATGACAATCCATCAATCCATCGGCTGGCTACCCAAGGCAGTGGAGTAGCTCCAATCCCCCTCTTCATCTTCAGTCACCCTCCTTTCTCTCCACCAAGTGAGGTGACCCCCTGGGGAGAAGGCACAGGTAGTTCTGAGCTGGTTGTTAACCCCGTACGCTTCTACCACTCATTCACTGGCATCACCGGTTGAGATGGAAGAATGCCCCAGTGGCAGAGGCCTGGTCTACCATGGGCCTCTCCTCGCGTTTTACATCTACCTCTGTTTCCTCCTCCTGTGTTGGAACAACCAAAGGAGTGGCTCAGGTAGGACCACTGCTGCTGCCTCGGCTCCTTCAGACATCATTCAGACCAAACAGGAACTCTGCGAAGTGAAGTATTGATGGTAGAGAACTGACTTTCTGTCACGTTCCGTCGTTCCCATTGAATGCAAACAGAGAGTCAGTTTGTTTGGTGAAAAACTTTATCTCTATCTAATATGTGATAACCAGCACTAAATGACAATGATACAAAAGTAAGCAAATCCAAGTCAGTTCTAACCAAGTTAACACCATCACTCATATATATATACCATTACCCCACCCAGTTCCACCCACAACTCCACCCAGATGACACCCAACCACCAACACCAATCACCATGATCCACACCTTCAGCCACACCCCACTCAGTGTCATCACAGCCTCCTTCCTGATCAGCCGAATGTGAGCAGAAGAGTTATGTCAGAGTAGGCAGTTGCACCCGAGCAGAAGAGTTACTTTGGAGTAGGCAGTTGCATCTGACCAGAAGAGTTACGTCAGAGTAGGCTCTGAAGTGCAGCTGTTGTCCAGGAGGCGTGCCTGCAGAGTATTGAAGGGAGCCACGCAGAGCCACATGCAGCTACAGGCTACGCTGACATCAGAGAGTCAACATCAATGTGGCAGTGTTGGTGGCGTGTAAGCATGGCCGAGCAGGCATGGTGATGGACAGGTTCCCCGCTGAATGGCAGCCCGAGGGCTGACAGCCAGCAGTTTTTGATGTTAGATCTAGCTCTCCAAGAGGTATGCAACCATGAGGGCTAGGAACAGAGGTGGTATTCAGCCGCTTCAGTCTGGTTCGAGCGAAACGGTAGCGGAAATTTTGAGTAGTTCAGAGAATCGTCAAACACCACCTCTGATTGGCCATGCCCTCCCCAATGTTCCCTGTCCTATATTCCCTTGTTTTTTAGCTCAGCTGATTCGCGTGGGAAAACAGATTACCTCACTTCAGCTGAGCTAAAAAACAGCTCAGGTCACCAGCGCTGACACTAAGGGCGATCTGAGTGCTGTGAGCATAGCGCTCTCTCATAGAATTGGTGGGAAAAGATTTGGAATCCCACCACTGACTAGAAACTTGCCTACGAATTTTATTTTTTTTAAAAAAGGGAACTTTTAAAACAAAACGCTGAGCTGTGTTTTGCTTCTGCTTTGAAACCCACACCAGGCAGGCAGGTCTAAGCGGATGGAAGGGGCACCCATCATTTAAAAAAAATAAAAATAAAATTGTAGTTTTATTTGTAAGTTGCATCAAAGCTTATTCCCGAGCCATTCGTTTCTGCTTCTTCAACTTCTTTTGGGATATCTTCTTCTTTTGAGCAACTTCTTCAGGGACACCCATCATTTTAAAGGCTTCCCTTCGTTGCCTTTGCATGCAATTCCCTTGATGTACTCATATTTTTACCGTTTTCGTTTAGGAGACCGAGCTCATCCGAAATATCCAAGAGCTCCTGAAAAGAACAGTGAAGCAAGCCATTAACCAGATGCAGTAAGGCCTCTGTTCAGTATTTGGTCACGACCAACTTCTAAGTTTTGGGGGTGGGTGAGGCGACATGCCTTGAACTGACCTGAGTGTCCTCTTTCTCAAATGAAACATGTAATGTAACTCATCTCCCCCACCTTTGCCTACCTGGTTCCCAACCTCTTTGCACAACTTTGCACAACCAAACAAGACTGTCTGATTTTGTCTAGGCAAAGTTCTGGCCCTGCCACACATTGCCAAATTTAAAAAAAAGTGGTTAAAAATGCAGGTCATCTCAACTTACAATCACAATTAGGATTGCAACTTTGCTAAGTACGAGGGTTGTTACTTTTGCAACCTTTTTTTTGCAGTAGTTTTTAAGTAAATGATCGTGGTTGTTAGCACTTAGCACTTAGACTTATATACCACTTCACAGGGTTTTCCAGCCCTCTCTAAGCCGTTTACAGAGTCAGCCTCTTGCTCCCAACAATCTGGGTCCTCATTTTACCAACCTCTGTCTGGAGGATGGAAGGCTGAGTCAATTTTGAGCTGGTCAGGATCGAACACCAGGCTGTGGGCAAAGTCAGCCTGCAATACTGCATTCTAACCATTGTGCACTATGGGTGGGTGGGTGGAAGGAAGGAAGGAAGAAAGGAAGAAAGGAAGGAAGAACAATAGCAATATCACTTAGACTTATATCCCACTTCACAGGGTTTTCCAGCCCTCTCTAAGCAGTTTGCAGAGTCAGCCTATTTCCCCCCCAACAATCTGGGTTCCCATTTTATTGACCTCAGAAGGATGGAAAGTGGAGTCAACTTTGAGCCAGTCACGATTGAACTCCAGGCTGTGTGCAAGCCTAACCTGCAAACCTGCAGTTTCCGAAGAGAAGGTGTGGGAGGAGTAACCATGGGTATTAACCAAGCCTTCTTGCCTATTGGAGACTGAGTTAATCTTTTGGAAGCCACACCTCCTGCTCTCCTCTGGCTACCCAGATTAACCTCAGTCTTGGCCTGAACGGAGTGTTACTCTTTCTCTCCCTTCTTTCTGAAAACTTTGGAGTTTTTTTCCTTTCAGCAAGACTTTTTCTCTATCAGGATTATTACTAAGAATCAGCAGATCGTCTCACCATCCTCCTGCTGTGCTCCGCGCCGCTTTTCAAGCTCCGGCTTGCCAGCGCGTGCGCAATCGCCCCGTGTGACCGGCTGGTCGCTTTAAGGGAGGTGGAAGTCCCAGAGGCTGCAGGGACGAAGGAGATGACCGCGCAGCGTTCGGAAGGGCCCAGGAGGGTCTACGAGGTCCGGGAACCACCAAGGATCGCCACGGAGGCTTCCAGCGGCGAGAGAGGAACCGGAGGACTACAGCGATCGCCATTTTGGTCAGTCGCCATTTTAGGAGCACGTGGATGAGCGCGTGATCAGCATTCCCCTACGGACGCCAAAAGCGCTCACAAGGCACCAGGAAGCCAGAAGAGGCTTCCCTTTGGGCTCTACCCTGCCGGTGATCCGGGGGGTATTCCAGGAGCGTGCCTGCCGGCAGCTGAGGCCACAATCCAGCGGCAGGAGAGCGGAGAAGCGGATCCAGGACCCGAGGAGGCAGATTCGCATTACAGCCGGCTGCAGAAGGAGGAGGTTGGTGAGCATCGTAACTGTGAGTAATGGTGGAGGCGACCAGGAGCAGGGATACCAGGCCCAGAGGCCCAGGGGGTGCGGATCTGGACGAAGGGCCTTCCAGGGCGGTTTCCCCGACCACCAGAGGCAGATCCCCAGTGAGGAGGGACAAGGCCAGGGCTCCCAAGAAGGCAGCCCCCAGCAGGGAGGCCAGAATGACCAGGGCCTCGACCAGGGAGTTCAGGGCGACCATCAGCCCTTCCCTCTCCAGATCATGTTCTCCCCGCAGGTCTTCAGCCCGGGCTGAAACCAGGGCAGCATCTCCAGCCTCACCTGGGGGCTCCCATAGAAGGCACAGCTCCCTTTCGCCCCCTCTTTCTCCGCCCCCCCCAGCGGATTCGAGAGCGGATCCTTTTGGTCGCAGAGCAGTCAGCCCTGCTAGGCCTTGCCTGGCCCCCCTATCTCCTGAACCCAGGGATTATTCCCAACCACCAGAGCTCCAGCCCGCACTGCCTGACCTCACCAGTAGCTTCCAGGACATGCTAGCCAGGGCCCTGGCCCAGGTTATGGCCTCCAGCCTTACCCAGCAGCCCCAGAGCTCCAGGAGCAGGCCCCCTCAAGAGTCTCCTAGAGGGCAGAGTGATCGCCCCAGCACTTCGGCTGCAAGGGAAGCCAGGTCTCCCTCCCCATCCACGGCTAGTGAGACATCCGACCTAGAGAAGGGAGAATTGAAAGAGGTGGGATTCTCAGAGGATGAAGATCCCCAGGTAGACGAGGATTCCACCGTAGCGGGCCTCCCCCCCGCTCCTTATTCAGTTCCTTGCTACGCAAGGCAGCTGCCATAGCGGACATAGATCCACCCCCGGATCCAAAGCCCGCAACTGAACCTTCTGGCAAGGGTAAGATTAAGAAGAAAAAGGGGCCCTTCCACAGGCCTCCTGTAGCTAGGGAGGAGATCCCCACGCCAGAAATGTTCATGGAGGTGCTCAAGTCGCAATGGGTAAAGCCAGGGTCCTTTCCCACCCCAGGGGGAAATGAAAGAAAATTTTACAATCTTAATCAGACTTTCGCCCAGGCTCTAGATTGATTTAGATTTAGATTGCTTTTATTTATAGGCCGCCCTTTTCCCTGAAGGGACTCAGGGCGGCTTACAACCTATAGGGAG